GAGGAGTTGAATTTTGAATTTTAATTAGTTAAAATTGAAATTAAAATTGAAACCCACTTCCACTTCCAGGAAGATGGAGTAGATGTACTTTTTCTTATTCTTCCCACTAAATACAACCAAAACTCCAGGACGTTACACATAAAGCAAACATAAGTCACTGAAAGGTGGAGAGAAAGCAGAGCAGCCAGGAACCTCGGTAGCTAAGGAATGACATGGTGGTAAGTTTTCTAGGCTTTCTTTTTGCCTCCATATTCCAGACTTGGAGCTAAAGAAACTGGCAAACCAGAAATACCAATAAGCACAGACAAAGCATCCAGCAAAAGGCCAAAAGACGGGGAAGAGGTAGACGGGGAGGAGGTAGACGAGCAAGACAGCTTTTAGACAATTGCTCTCCTCCAGGCAGTCACCATGGAGAAACTGTGGCTCCACCCAACCCATGGCGACAAAGACCAAGTGGGGAGCCTAGAATTGCACCCTTGAAAGGCTGCAGTGTGGTGCCCCAACATTCCTGCCAGGGTGATGTCAGGGAACTCCAGTCGGGAGCTGGGATTTTCATGCCCGTTGGCTGGTAATGCGCCTCCCACCCTGTGAGGAGCTGGACTTCGGTGCCTGCCCACAGTAACAGGATGGCCCTCCCCGCCAGGGCAGTGTCGGAGGAGGCCAAGAGCAGTCAAGACTGGACTTACCATTGCCCAGTGGCAATGAGGCCACCCACCCCTGTGGGGTGCACACACGGAGAGGAGGCACTGCCACCCTTGGTTAGCCCTGAGTGTCAAAAGAGGTTGAGTGGGGACTTCTGCCTTCCCAGGCAAAAATGAGACAGTATACCCATGTTCCCTGCCAAAGCAATGTCAATGAAACACAGTTAAATCAAAAGATCCAAGCCGGGCATGGTGGCTCACGCCTGTAATCCTAGCACTCTGGGAGGCCGAGGCGGGCAGATCATTTGAGCTCAGGAGTTCAAGACCAGCCTGAGCAAGAGCGAGACCCCGTCTCTACTAAAAATATAGAAAGAAATTAGCTGGACA